CTCCCTGCGTCTGCTGCTGCTGTACGTGGTGGTCGCCTTCCGCTCTACCTACAAATCGACATTTCAGATGTTCATACCAATTGATCAATCACACATTCACGACAGCTTTGTCTGATGTGTGTTAGATAATGTGAAACCACATCCGTGCAGGGAAAGCCTTTCTCTGTGCATCATCACACATACACGCACGAACACATGCGAGACACACATTAGACTCTCACGGGATACACATTAAGCACACGCTAGCATCAGCTACAGATAAGCCATCCTCCGTAACTAATTAAACGTACATGCACACTCTACAGATACGCGCCTAAAAACACAAACACACAGGATGCACGTGCACACTATACACTGAGCATTCGTCCTACGTACGTGATCTGTAGTGGCTGCGGATTTAGCCCTACTTTACAACCATCTAAATTACAGCCTAAGACATCTCGAGAAAAGTGGAAAGGAGGCGACAGCGGACACGACTGGTACATTGATATCAAACGAGTAAAGTGGCTTTGTGGACGTATGGGTACGCGTGCATAACAGTCGAATGCTGACAGAGGCCATTAACAAAAGGGGTGAGTCATTAGTCCACTCGGGCCCACGCGAGGTGGCTGTCATTCCACTAAAGATCATACCCACAATCCTCACAAACACAGGATTTACACTAACACACCCCGATAACACTTACGCACACCAAATTCACACATAAATGTAGAATACACGGAAACACAAATAATTCACATGGCCACAGAGGGGAAATTCACGCACCTTTAGAGATCTCACCACCATCTCCACCACCACCTCCATCACCCCCACTAGTGCTGGGGACAGTTGTGTCGCCCTCGGTTGGAGTGTCGCCGGAGATGGACTGGGAGTCGGAGGCAGTCTTCATTTTCGTGGGCGATGTCTGTTCATCTGTTGGAGTGTCCGGTGGAATGCTATTAATCCACCGTTCCACCATTTTCAAGCGTTCCTGACGCAAAACAGTCAATAAACATGGTTACTCACACACACAAACACTATATAATCACAATTAATCACACGTTTCTAAGCATCCCCTAAAATTTTGACCATATTCAAGGAAGCAATGAGAAATAGGCGACATTTTATTGGTCAACTGCGATCACATAGCATTAGAATCAACGATGGAATTGTGCATGGCACTTGAGTCATCATCGATACAGCAAGTCATCCAATAAGTGTAGTGCGTTCGTTTACGTAACCCGACGAATTGAGTGTGATGCGACTGTGGCAGCACCAAACTATCGACCAGCACTTCTACTCAGCCCCACTAAGCCGACTAAATAAAACAATTCGGAAGAATCTACCCACACACAAACACACACACACAAGTGCTTCTGCAGTACTTCAACGCCCGACTCCACACACTACAACCCTCACATTACGACCTGCGACATCCAACAATCTACCTGTCCACTAATGAGGGCACTCAAAGCAGTCGTGTCGAATACAAGGAAAATGCAACTATCATGACATGGTTACGTGGAAGGTGCAGCAGACGCGTGGGTTAGGATCGAATGAAGGCACTGGCTCTGGCATCGTTGGCAGTTGCTGAGCAGGTTCCGGCAGATCTGGTTCCGAAGGAAAGAAGGAAGAAGTCGGTGGTGGCGGTTCAGTGTCGGCATTGGTGCTTGGACCAGTCTGGTGATGAAGTTGTTGGTCAAGGTTGTCGCCTTCGCCACTGGTCCTCGTGGAATGCGGACTACGTTCTTGCTGTTGCTTCGCAGGCAACTCCTGTTCTGTATCGTTGACCATCTTACACACTGACAATGACCAATTAACTACGATGTGATAATTTGCGCTTTTCTGTGTTAAGAATTTCAAAAGACCAATGCGTTGCACAAACGTGGGCAGACACTAAGAGAGATATTGACTTCATGTAAAGAAACATCATGAACTCAAATGGCCAGTGCAAAGTTGATCGTGAGATTACGTGATCTGCATGGCCCAGAGAACCATTTGTTAAATCGATTTGTTATGGATGCAAATGGCACTGCATGCCAGGTGTGCGTGGTGAGGTCGGCAAAGTCGCCAGCCCTTCGACATGACGCTGCTGAATCTTCCCTACACACACACATACACACACACACAAGAGCACACACACACTCCATCTGACTAATTCGACTATATTTAGGGCGTGGATTTGAGGCGAGGGTTACCACCTGCCAATCTGTGCTTGGCATTAGGATCACTCCTCAAGTCAAGTCTAAACTGTCTTTAGAATAAACATGATAGGAAGCAGTTCAATTTCTTAAAGAAGAAAACTTACCAAATGCTGCGGATTGATTCGAATCCGAGCAAACTATCCTAGCAAACTAGAGCGGATTGTCCTTATATTCGACTTCTGTCTAACCAATGATGTGTTGCTATTCGCTCATTGGGTTGACCACCAGTCGCAGGCAATAATCGTGCTCAAGAAATGATCCCTCGTCGCTCATAGAAAGCGCTTCACATGTGTGGAATTTATATCCGTGAGGTTTAAAATCTTTAAATTTGTCCATCCGATACCACGTGGGCATGGGTGATGGCAACCGCCCAAGCGGCTTGCGTTGAAGATGGGGTGTGGACATAAAAACAATTTAAAACGATGGCGAATGTTGGTCAGGGTAGGAGAGTGATGTCAAGGGCACACAGCTATGCACAGTCGCAAGATATTGATGGGTAGTTGCTGATGTAATTCATCTGGTTCAAATCCGAATGAGGTGGGAGTTAAAAGTGTTAGTGCGTGAGCGGGAGAAGCATAGACAGCAGCATAGCAAACACATTCACGTATGTTACACCTAGTGAGTGGCGCCAACACCCTGCCAAGCAATCATTTTAGACCCTTCATGAATATTTTATACAGAAACACGTTGTTTATCTCATTTTTGGTATAATCTTGGTGAAACACACAACTCAGGAAATTACAAAGCTGACATGAGCAAACGGACACAGTTGAGTAGATGGAAATGTGCATGCCAAGTGATTCGTCAGCGGCACTGCCATTCATGAAGGAGGAGTTGCGCCTTGGTCCCCACCAACTCTTGTGGGATTTGGCTGTGGCGAGCAATCCGATTGCGAAGCTCTAACGAATCCATCTCACAGAAGAAACCCGTTAGATTTGCTGCAGCATTACAACGCTCGATACGATGCACTGTGTTACTCAAAATACTAGCGTGTCACATCCAACAAATACCCCACATCTCAATCAATGTCCGACAAATTGTATTCCGTCCGATTCCACATCAGATGCTGTGCAGTTGCTGGAATAACCAAGTACTTGCATTACCAACACCCAACCTCTTCCACATTCTCTCAGCAGCGAACACTACAACGCTTCCGACACGCATGTTCCAGGCCTGGCATTGCGTTGACCTCCTAAATTCAAAATCCAATTTACTAAAGAAATCGACTGTAGCATTCACATACTGCTTCTCATTTATCTGTTGTTCTACTTCTGGTTCTAACTGATGAGCCGTAACCGTGCTAAAGACATCTTGGGGTGTTCAAATCGGATCAAATATTTACGTTCTCAAAAGCTCCGATTCGCCTTCTCTTCTTCACATGTCTTTGCTTGCATCGTTTTTTGGGTAAGGTTGCCGGATGCCGCGAATTAAACACACCCACGAGAGATTTATGCGAAAATTGAACCCAGACTAAGTTGGCAATTACTTGCTGAAATGACGAATGAAACAGTAAGGTCCATGGCTAAATCAATCTCCCACTAACCTTTCACTGGTTTCCTTATCTCCCTGTACTCAACACAAAAGCCTAGCTACCACACAATCCACCTCATTTTACCCATTAAAAAAACCTCACAAATGTGTCATCGAGTCCGCTTCAACTCAAGTTAACTCCATCGATGCTCAACTCACAGCAGCAGCAGCAGCAGCACAAGCACGTTTAATTCAATTGTCAACTGGCAAAGCACAACCAACCACCACTGATGCCACAAATTGTGCCTTAACACACGCTTAAACAGTCACTTAGGCGCTTAGTCAGTGATTTGGGTGTACCAGCGAACCAAACTCGCTTAGCACCAGTGCCAACGCTGTTTACGATTCCATTCCAATCCTCCAGACCACGCGTTGGCGTCCAGAGGGTAAGTTTCATCGGTAATGGTAGCCCCCATCATCCCAGTGTCACTGAATTTTGTTTCAAAGTGGAGGCTAGAATGACTGTGAGT